AAACACTTGTCGTTTAACCCTTGTGCATACCTCCGTTCAATTGCAAACACACACACACACACACACACACACACACACACACACACACACACACACACACACACACACACACACACACACACATACATTTCTCAGGGGTATCACTAACTCTGGGCGATGCGGTGAGTCCTTATCCATCAGTCAAATCCATCCTGGGCAGACTCTGTCCAGGTTCGGTGAAAGTCCGACGAGTCAGTCTGGCACAGTCAAGCTCTTTTTTTGTGGAGTCGTCTATAGCAAAACATGACAACACACACACACACACACACACACACACACACACACACACACACACACACACACACACACACTCACACACACACTCGCACACACACACACACACACACACACACGCCAATACACACGAAGGACGAGGAGGATGGTTCGACAGGCCACGACTGTTTCTTGCAGCAAAAGATACTCAAGGCAGCAAAGGACATTCATGGGAGCAAAACACATTTATGGGAGCACAAGACATTCATGGCATCAAGAAGAGAACATTCAACGCAGCAAAGAAAACCGATAAACGGGCGCAGATGAAGATGAACTTACTCCCAGGGAATATCGCCTGCGAGCATTAAGTCTCCATCCGCATCTTCGTACGCTATGACGTGCCCTGGCAATGCGTTCAGGCTGTTGCAAGTTTCACCCTCTCCTCCTCCTCCTCCTCCTCCTCCTCCTCCCGCTTTGCTGCATGTCCATTTCTCCTCCGCGATTCTTGCCTTGAACATCTCCCTTAGCGTCTTCGACAACCCCTCGTAGCTGCTATGTTCTCGCAGATTTACCCTTCGTCCGATCGGCCATCCTTCGAAGATGGCCGTGATATGCGCCATCGTCATTCCTTCGCCCGCCGCTACTGTTCCAGATGAACCACCCGCATGGGAATGGGACAGGGAATGGGAATGGGACAGCGAAGGGGAATGGGAATGGGACTGGGAATGGGAATGGGAATAGGAATAGGGAAAAGAATCTTGACGAGAGACGGCGGCGGCGGCGTTTAGAAATGACGGCGAGCTCATAGTTCTGCGGCACAGATCACGAGTTCAAATCCCCTTTCAAAGACTGGGTGACACGGCGGCGATTAGAGATCACGAATGGGAATGGGACCAGTGAATGGGAATGGGAATGGGACAGGGAGTGGGAATGGGAATGGGAAAGGGAAAGGGGAAAACAATCTTGAAGGGAGACGACGGCGGCGGGGGCGTTTAGAAACGACGGCGAGCTCATATTTCTGCCGGGCACAGATCACGAGTTCAAATCCGTTTCAAAGACTGGGTGACACGGCGGCGATGAGAGATCACGAATGGGAATTGGAAAAGGGAAGGGGAAGGGGAAAAGGAATTCCTGACCAGGGACGGCGGGCGGCGTTTAGAAACGACGTAGAGCTCATTGTTCTGCAGGCACAGATCAAGAGTTCAAATCCCCTTTCAAAGACTGGGTGACAGATTACACGACTGGGTGGTGGCAGATTACACTTTTTGCCCCATGGATTACACTTTTTGCCCCACAGATTACAATTCAGATTACACTTTTTTGCCGCACAGATTACACATCAGATTACAGTACAGTTTGTGGCCGCACAGATTACACTGGGTGACAGATCGCGAGTTCAAATCGTTTAGAAATGACGGCGAGCTCATAGTTCTGCGGCACAGATAAACGAGTTCACATCCCTTTCAAAGACTGGGTGACAGATCACACTTTCCCCCCCGCCGCAGATCACACTTTTTGTCGCACAGATTACACTTTAGACTAGACGTTTGTGCCTCACTGATGACACTTCGGATTACACTTTTTGCCGCACAGAAAGACACTCATTCCCTTCTTTTGACCGATCGCCCACTTGCCGAGACACTGCCGTCTTCCCCCGAACATAACGCACCCTGAAAATGAAAGTGTATTAAGGTATGTTTCCGGCCCGATACAGTCCAAATCAGGGTGCGTTGTGTTCGGGGGAAGAAGGAAGGCAAAAGATTGATTACCTACACTTTTTAACGACAAAGGCTTGCTGGCTGGCTGGCTGGCTGGCTGGCTGGCCAACTTACAGCCTAATTAGCGCCGAGTTGCGAGACACGTGATACACGTGATACTCTTCGGACTGAATCTGGCCTTAGTCCTGGTCGGATACCTTCAGCAATGCCCTGGTGGAGAGTATGCCCTCTCCTCTCTTACACCATTCCCAATCCCCTGTCTGTAGCGGGCAAGATCCCCTTCCGCCCCCCCGCCCCCTTCTACCACTACTGTTCTTATCAGCCAGTCACGGCATCCTCACACTAGCACTATGTTCTACGCATCTGACCACATTTACGGCCAGACGTGGATGTATACCGCGAGTGTGAGTCTGCCCTCAGTGAGTTTTGTGAATGTGTGCTATCCATCAATCAATGCAGCTGTGCCTCAGTGAGTACGCTTGCGAATGTATTGACGTGTGTGTGCGTGTGTGTGCCTGACCGTGGGTGAGTGTGCGTAGGTGTGTCTGTGCGTGGGTGTGTGCGCGTGTGGGTCTGTTCATCATGTATCATGATTCTGAGTTTCAAGAGATGGACAGACAGACAGACAGACAGACAGACAGAAAGACAGACAGACAGACAGACAGACAGACAGAGAAGAGAACAGAGAGCGGACAACCTACCGCAGCCCTCTTTTCACGTGCCTTAACATTTGCATGTTCGTGACATTAAAAAAAAAAAAAACACAGAGAGAAAAAGAGAGAGAGAGAGCGAGAGAGAGAGAGAGAGGTGCGGAAAGACGGGAGCAAAAAGGTTAAAAAGACGGACCGAGAAAGGAGGGAGGAAAGAAGGGCACAGAGGAGAAAAAGACGGAGGGAGAGACGCAACCACTGCAGGAACGTCGGTGCGTGGGTAGGGATGAACGTTTCTGAGTCAGTGTTTGTCTGTGTGCCCTCGCCTTTGTGTGTGTGTTTCGAATTTTCACCACAACAGCCCCTATTCCACCCAGATGAGCAGATCCAAAATCAAAGCATATTCAATATGTGTGTGTGTGTGTGTGTGTGTGTGTGTGCGCGCGCGCCTATGACAGAGAAAGACACGGAGCTGGGAGAGGAACGGGGGGCAGGGGGGGAGGGCTGGTGGGAGGGGAAGTGGGACGGAGGCTAGTGTGGGAAGGGAAGTTTCAACGAAGGGCTTACTCAGACTGTGACTTTTTTCTATTCAGCTTTGGCCGTAATTATGGTCAGATACGTTAGTCCGAAGTCGTGCTTGCGTCCAGATGCATCCAGGAAAGTGCTAAAGTGAGAGTGCTCTACATCGAAGTGCCATCGATAACCTTGCGCACAGCAGACGCTTCACACGGAGATTGGAGTGGTATTTCCGCGCAACTAAGCGGCCGTTCTGCGCCCACTACGGCAGAGCGGCGGAGAGCGGCGGAAAGCTTCATCTCTGCGCTGCACCATGCTCGGCACCATCGCAGCGATGGCCGAAGAGCAACCCGCCCGTGATTCTGGGCCTCGCCACACCGCCCTCGAAATGAGAAAACGACAAAAATGTGGCGGATGCATCTGGGAATGTTCTAGGGGGAAGTTCATTCTCATTTTGCACATTTCGAGGGGGCCGACGACGATTTCGACGATTTCGTGCCCGGGGCCAAGTCCCACTCGCAGCCTTGAGTTTCCTCAACTCAACACCCGAATCTGGACGTTTTTGTGGAGAGGTGCGGTTGAGGAAACTCAACGCGATTTTCTGCACAGCTCCACAAACACGTCCAGATTCGGGCGTTGACGAAACCCAGCGCTGATTGTGGGCATTGGGCCCCGCACTGCCGGCGCTAGCAGTTAGAACTAACTACTCGGGAATCTGGACCTCGCCGCAGTCAAGAAAATTTAAGGGGTCTTGCTGCAGCAGTCAACAAATATGCAAAATCAGAACGAATCTTCCGCAAGAACACGCAAAGATACACAGCCATAACATTTGTCTTTTGTGCATTTGGTGAATAGTGCGGCGAGGGCCTATACCCCTGCGGTTTGTGAATACATATCGGATAGAGATTGCCGGTCTCGGATAGAGACGCACCACGGGCGATCCGGCAAGATTGTGAATACATCTGGACAGCCAGGCAGTCTAGATGCATTCAAAATTCAAAATGTTGGCAGATGACGAGCGGTGCAACTACCGGTAGGTTCTTTTTTTTTTTTTCTTTTTTTTTTTTCTTTTTCTTTTTTTCAAAAAAAAAAACATTTATTATACCAACAGGAGGCCGGGAATCCCTCCACAAACAACCTGGAAAAGGCTGGGACCATTACCCAGAATTGGTATAGGTGTTGGACCCGAGTGTCCAGGTGCAGAAATGGCCAAAGCAAGACCGCTGCCCTGACGAGAGGACCAACCCAATTGCAAACAAAAAAACCGACAAGGCCTAAAAACCGCACAACCCAAAAAACTTTTTCTTTTTTTTCGAGATAAGGTACACTTGATTGCTCATGAAAAAGTAATATGAGGCTCAGCTAGGGGGCGCGAGGGGCTAGCGCAGGAGCGCTCCGAACTTGCCCTACCGGTTGGGAGCAGCGCTAATTTTTGGCCCTGCTTTCAGCCGGCCTCGGCGGTCGCTTGACTCACCGCCAAGACGAGCGAGCGATTAGGGTTGACGTCGCCTCGGGTTCGACGAGGTCTCCGTCCTCCCGTCGCCGAGCCAGAGTGATGGAGTTCATACAGCCACACGTGATGTGCTAGAGAGTCGTGAGTGTCGTGATTGTTTTTTGGGCATGTACTTACTAGTTGGGCGAGCGCCAGGGTGCGCCCGCCTTTGACGTGGGAATCGAAGAAGTGAGAAGGAGGACTGACCTCTACGGAAAACTGGCTACGCTGTGAAGAGGTCAAAGGAAGAGACGTGCCTGGTGTTGTGAGATAGCAGATCAAGGAAATGTCGACAACCAAGATAATGGAAGAGCGGCGGCTCTTCCAGCAAGGACGGACATCCCGATGTCGGCGCGAATACCCTTACAAGGGTATCCGCCCTGGTTTTTGCAAGTGATAGAAAGTAGTTTGATTTAAAATTTAGGTACACCGCGCTAGGCGCGGCTGCGTCGGTGATTTATGCTGACCGGATGGTGGACTAGAATAGAGAGTGTGTGGGCGCGTGGATTTTTGAGGCGCGCGTGATCTTCTTAATTGTTGATGATTGAAGGGTCGGCACGATCGCCGGCCGTAATTTTTTTCTTCTGATTAAATAGGGATTGAAAAGATTATGTCTCGCTGATTGTTGGGCCTGCCTGTGACCTATGCGTACGTGCAGAGGGCGACATCGACAGCGATGTGACTTCTGGAGGCGYTTCGGTAGCGTAGCKCGTCGCGTAGGGTCYRCCTATTWAGGCGTCCGCCAGAGCTAAACCCAGACTTGGGCCTAGCGCTATTGGTTACGATATCGGACTTTCGTCGAGGAGATTCGGGGATCGAGGTCGAGCGGCGGTGGCGCGAAAACTTCAGAGTGGCGCGAAGGGCTCGGCGGGGCTATCCCCTTTGGGTTTGCCGATAGCGACGTCGAGGCGGTGCTAGCGTTTTTCTCTCTTCCGCCTCTCGTCCTTTGATGATTAGGATTTTTTTTGGGTATTTTATTATTTTTGTCGTCGTCCGCCAACCACGGTTTGACCGCGGCGCGACGAGCACCGGGGACCTCAAAGTTCTCACTTGAATATTTGCTACTACCGTCGAAGGTCGCCCCAGGACCAGAGTGCCAAGGCCCACGCATAGGCCTTACAGCGGGCCGCGCTCTCAGATGCGCGGCCAACCGTCGGAGCGGGAGCTTGCCCTTTGGGGCCCCGAGGCAGCAACGGGCACTGTGTGGAGCAAGGCAGAGGTAGCAACGGGCATTGGGATAGGTGATAGGGAGCCGAGGCAGCAAAGGCAGAGGGAGCGGGGGTGAATCGGGACGGGGTCGGACGCCGGGTGCATGCACAGCAGGGAGGAGCGGAGCGCGAAGTAGCAAGGGAGGCAGGCTGAAGTGTGGCCAAGCGTAGGGGCCGGGCGGAGTTCAGCATGGGCAGAGCAATTTGCTCAAGCAGGCGGCGTGGCGCTGAGCTGAGCAGCGAGGGCGGCCGTTGAGCTAAAGTATCGGCTGACCGGTAGAGAGACGGCTGAAGGGATAACGTGCGCTGAGTTGGGCTGGCACCGAGGGAGCACGGACGAGCGGAGAACTACGGGCAGTTGGGAAGGAAGGAACCCGGATGGCCGTTGGCGTCGGATGCAGGCGGGCAAAGGGGCACAGTAGGTGGGGAGGCAGTGGAGCGCGGAGGAGTGCAAAGGGAGAACGGAGGAGGCTGGCAGCGAGGCAGTGAAGGGGGTGGAATGAACCTGGCGAAGCCCTGCGCCAGGTGCATTTGAGAAGAAGAATGGTGGAGCGACGAGGAAGGAGGAAGATGGCGGGGAGGAAATGGCAGAATCCGCCCTTTTCTTGATGAAATCGGGCGGGGAAGGAACATACTCGGGGGTTTTAGAGTAGGGCGAATACGTTAGTAACGTTAGTTTTAGCGTTAGATTAATGGAATGGGAGATGTTAGAAAAACTACGTGCGCGATGGTATGGTGGAGCAAAAGGGAGGTAAGGGAAAGATGCTGATATCATCCGATTCTTGACCGAATCGGGTGAGGGAGGATGTGATTCTAGCATTTTTGGGCGAGGCGATTTCAATGGTATTGTTAGTTTTGCGGTTAGTCGGGTAGAGTTAGAGTTAGACAAGAAGTGTATACGACGAAGCTATGGGGGATGGGATTTGAAGGTGGTGGATCACGATCGGTCCTCGTCCGATTTCGACGAGGGAGAGCTCTGCACAGGGGTGACTGGGTGGGGCGACCGTGATGGAGGGCTCGGATCTGCAGCCCATGTCGTAGTTTGGCCGCGGTTAGTATTGCAGGCTGCGCCTAGCGGTTTGGGATGTGTATGGATGAACCTGGTCGTGATGTTGGTCAGGTACCTTTGTCTATTTGACGAGCTATCAGAGAAAGAAGGAAAGTCAATCAGTCGAGGTGAGAGAGAGCGAGAGAGAGGCAGTGGAGGGAGGAGATCAAACATACCTGTCAGTTTGGGGTCGCGCTCGT